CGTCATCAGACGAACAGAAGATCATTCTATCAGTTACTTGCGAAACAAGAATGCGGTTCACAACCTAGATGAAAATGAACACCCCATCCGAACGATTGTAGTGATAACCTTACAGTTGGTCTCGACTAATTAGTTACACTAGTACTCTTTGTTTATTGAACGGATCCCAGAGAGAAGAAGTTCATTTTATACTGATCGTCGTAAACGAACTAAGCCTCGATTAATGATTGCGTATTCTTAACCTGTAAGGTATAAACATACATGTGCATGCCGTAAATATTCCTTTAATTCACTTGGGTGATATTTAGTTTACAGGATCAATATATATACTTAATGTTTTGGGTAATATTATTGTATATATGATGTGTTGTTAGAATATTTACGGTCACCGTGTGTGATAGTTTGATGATGTCCCCGAGATGAGCTCATGAAGGATTATAATGTTAAATCTGCCAGTGGAATTTATTCCGACATAATAATAATGGCATGAGTGGTACTAGTCTCGGTTGTAGATGTCGATTAATTCAATTGTCAATAATTAAATTTAATTGACGGACATTATATCTTAAACACGAGGAGATAAATCGAGTAATTATTATTGGAGACTCGAGTATAATTTGGAAATTAAATTGCGAGTTTATTCAATAATATTACTTTAGTGGAGTGGACGTATTATTCCTATTTGGGTTTGGTAGGCTTGGCCTATAGTATAATCTAAATAGGAGAAACCCAATTTAATACCTCTTTAGGATCTAGCAGATCATTATTCATGTGAAACACTCCGCACGCCCCTATATGCTCTCTTCTCTATTGTGTTCTCTTATTCTTCTCCAAGTAATCCGAATAGAGATATTTCTGATTTCATCGCCCACCAAGATGATCGGATGAGATGTCCGGTCATACAACAGAAATCTGATATTGTCGATGAATTTATATATATATTTATCCAACCCCGTATTTATATTCAACTCCGTAAGTTATCTGTAATTTGCGGGATTGTCCGTTCTTCACAAAAGGCGAGAATTATGCCAACCGGATATATTGGAATTGATCGGAGACTTCCAGTGACCACTCTCCGGTGATCGGCACAATTCCGGAGACCGGACACCATCAGAAGCGCCGGTGTTGGCGGCTCACGCGCCACCACAACCTGCCTGCTTGAATCCACGCGGAACTCGCGACGCACAGCCCAAGACGCCAGCAGCCCCCGATGGAGGAAGTTCCAGTTGTCGCAGCCCAGCAATAGGGCGTGATCTGCCACGCGCAGAGCCCAGAGACGATGTGGAGGCCCAATGAGAGTAGGCCCAATGTGACAACCCAACGAAAGGAAAGAAGTACGCGTGGGCCGCGCGGCCCGCGCATCTCACAATTTTCAGCCCGCGCGGACCGCGTCCAGCCCGCTCAGTCTCCAGTCTACCTGCACTCCTCCAGCCCGTTCCTGCGCGACCCACTAACGTCCCTGCAGCCCAACGTCATCCAGCAGCGGCCCAATGACGTTCTTAAAGTGGCCCAGCGAGCGACAACACTCCAAACTGGCCCAGTCGTGTGTAGCTCGGTCCAGACAGGTTCGGGAAGCGTCCAACACCCGGTTCCAGTCCAAATTGAGTCCCGGGAGGTTTGACCAAGTCAATAGAGGTCTGGGATGATTCAACATGGACAGTGAGCAATCCAACAGACATAGAAAAGCTAGTCCGGCTGCCTAACGGACATAAGACTCAGACGATTTCCGACAACAGATTTCAGAAATGTTTCAAAGTCGGCAAAAATTTAAAACGGTACACGTTGAATCTGGAAGAAGATGTGGACTTCAACTTGGCACTTGCCCTTAAAGCACAAGGTAAAACATTTTCTTTGGAGATGTTGATTTGGTTGGGGCTAAAGTGAATCTGGAAAAAGAGAAATACAGGCATATAGAATATGTCAGGTCTGTGGTGAGGAAGTTGAGAATTTGAATCATATATTGTTTTTCTGTCCAAAATCTAAAATTTGTTGGAAATTGGAACTTAATGCAAAGAAACCAAATGGACTTTCTGAGGTTGTGGATAGAAACTTGTTCATCAGGTATGTCTGTTGAGTTAGAACCTTTGGAAAGCTAGAAACAAATAGGTGTTCAATTGTGATTGGATACATGAGAAAGAATTAGTTGAAGGTGCCAAGTCTGAGTTGGTGGAATGGAGGTCAAAGACGTTGAAAAGAAGTTTAGGAGACATGGTGCTGCATCCTGGAAGAGAGATCTGTTCTGATGAAGTTCCAAAGAGAGAGTAGGTAGACAATGGGTGGCCATCTATTCATTTGTCTGAAGAGGGTGTTGATACTTTTGACTGTGTTGTTGCTCAGGATAGAGCTAACAAACTTCATTGGGAAGGAAGCATAACAAGAGCTACATCTGATATGAAAGCTACATTATTAGCTGCAAAATGAAGCTTGCTCAAGATCAAAGAGCTTAATTGGACTTCTTGTGTCTGCTATATTAATAATGTTGTTGCAATGAAGGCCTTGAAGAGAAAGCGTGTTTCCTGTTGTTCTTCTAACTCTATCCTAGATCAGGTGCTTTTTCTTTCGATTGTTTGTAATGTTGAACTTTTTCTAGTGATGTAGGGTGTGTGTTTTTAGTTTGGCCGTGTTGGTCTGTGAGAGGGAGAGCATGTTCTCCCTCGTGATGCTTTAGTCTTCTTGTTTAGATTTCTCAAGTTATCTGTAATTAGTTGATTACTCGTTGTATTCGTACTGTTTCCTTGAGCTATAAATTTGTTTGTTTGTCGTTGACAAAAAAAAAGACATGTCAATTTTTGACCAGAATTTAATTTATTCTTCAATAATGTTCCGATGATCAACTTTAAAAATAATTAGACAACTAAACATTTAATTTAATTAAAAGAGTTTATGGTGTGAATTTGTGAATGAATAATTTCTATTGAACCTGAAAACCCTTTAAATAAGGAATTATACAACATAATAAAATGAAACAATATATACACCAAATCAATCACAATAAATAATAATCCAGAAAATCAGCCGAGTATCTCAGCTGATTATATGCATTGCTAAGACACCCCATTAGTTTGAGCGGGCGGTGGACAGACGCTCAAGCTGGAACGAAATGACTGGAATAGCTGTTGAGGGAGCCCCTTAGTGAAAATATCCGCATATTGCAATGAAGAAGGCACATGAAGCACGTGAATGTGACCTACACGAACTTTCTCACGAACAAAATGTATGTCAATCTCCATGTGTTTCGTCCTTTTAAGCTGAACTGGATTATTGGAAAGATACACTGCTGAGATGTTGTCACAGTACACAACTGAAGCATGAGTAAGAGGCATGTGCAACTCAAGAAGTAAATTGCGTAGCCATGTGGCTTCAGCTACCGCATTTGCAACACCCTTGTATTGGCCTTCAGCGCTGGATCGTGAGACAGCAGGCTGCCGCTTGGAGCACCAGGAGATCAGATTATCACCGAGGAAAACACAATATCCCGAAGTTGAGCGACGGGAGTCCGGGCAACCACCCCAGTCAGCATCAGAATAAGCCACCAATGAATGAGATGCAAATTTGATGATACATATACCATAGTGAATCGTCCCTTGAATGTAACGGATGATCCTCTTCATGAAGGCAAAGTGAGAATCTCGAGGCTCATGCATAAACAAGTAGATCTGCTGAACCGCATATGATATGTCAGGTCTCGTAAAAGTAAGGTACTGTAAAGCCCCGACAAGACTGCGATATAAAGTAAGATCCGAGAACAGTGGGCTATCTGCACTGCTCATATTGGGCGAGAGGTCTACTAGAGTCGTGCACGGCTTACATGAGGACATGTTGGCCCTAGCAATTATGTCCTTTGCGTATTGAGCATGTGAAAGAAAAATACCATGGGAATGTGGGGAGACTTTGATGCCCAAGAAGTGATGTAAGCGGCCCAGATCAGTCATAGCAAACTCTCGTGACAAAGTGGCAATTATTTCACGCAAAAGCTTGTCATTAGACGCAGTGAGAATTATGTCATCAACATATAATAGCAAATAAGCAGTGTTGGACGAACCCTGATAATAAATAAATAATGAGTTGTCCCAGGCACTGCTACGAAACCCATGAGTGGTGATATAGTTAGCAAAGCGGGTGTACCAGGCTCGTGGTGCTTGATTGAGCCCGTAAAGAGACTTTTTGAGACGACATACCTGGTTGGGTGCCCGTTGATCATAGAAACCGGGAGGTTGGTGCATGAAAACGGTTTCATTGAGATCCCCATGTAAGAATGCATTTTTGACGTCCAATTGGTGGATAAGCCATGATCGTGAGACTGCGAGCGATAACACTGTCCCAATGGTAGCAGGTTTGACAACCGGACTGAAGGTGTCCTCGCCGTCAATGCCCACTGTCTGTGAATTTCCATTTATAACTAACCTGGCCTTATAACGTTCAAGTGATCCATCAGCCTTAAACTTATGACGGAACAACCACATACATCTAATAACTGGGCGATCCGCAGATCGAGGTACTAGTACCCACGTTTCATTATCCTGTAAAGCAGTAAATTCGGCTTGCATAGCATTCAACCAATAAGGATCAGATAAGGCTTTGGCATAAGTAGTAGGGATGGGTGAGATGTTGGTGGCTGAAAAAGCCGATTGGGTAGTGGACCGAGTTTTGGAGCGTGTGGTCATGGGATGGGAGTTGGCTGGTAGAGGTAGGCCCGTTGATGCAGAGTAGGCTGGTAGGTTGTGGACGGTCGATTGGGCTGCTGGAGGTTGGGCGGTGTTTGGTGGGGCCGATGGGTTTGGGCTGGGTGTGTTTTGTGGTCTGGGACGACAGCTATATGTGAAGGGATATAGAGTGGTAATGGAAGGTTTGCTTGTGGGCTGCTGAAAGGTAAAACCTGGAGGAATGGTATTGTCTAAAAAATTATAGGTGGTGGGGTTCTGAGGAATAGTGTAGGGGAACACATGTTCGTCAAAGGTTACGTGGCGAGATATGTGTACTTTTCCTGTTGTTGGGTCAAATCACCGATACCCATGAAAGTCGGGTGGATACCCGAGAAAAATACATCGGATGGAGCGGGCATATAATTTATGGGGTTGGATGGCAGAAGTGTTAGGATAACAAGCACACTCGAACACCCGAAGGTGGGTGTATTCAGGATGCCGTAGGTAGAGGGCAAAAGAGGGAATGTAAAAATTGAGACGTTTGGTGGGTAAAATGTTGTGCAGGTAAACGGTCGTGTGCAAGGCTTCCACCCAAAAAGAGGGAGGGAGGTTGGCGTGTATGAGTAGAGCACAAACGATGTCGTTTAGGCGACGAATCATTCTTTCTGCCCAACCATTTTGGCTGGAGGTTTGTAGACAAGCCCGGAACAGAAGTCCTTGTTGGTCTGCAAAGGCTTTGAAGGCTGATTTGTCAAATTCACCCCCGAGGTCACATTACAAAGTTTTAATTTTTCGGTGAAATTGAGATTCAATTAAACACTGAAATTTGGCAAAAGTGTGAAACGTGTCAGACTTATATTTGAGAGGATACACCCACACGAAGTGGGAGAAATTATCAATAAGAACCATATAGTATTTGAATCCTGTTTTACTCGTGATAGGAGAAGTCCATAAGTCACAATGGATGATATCAAAGGGTGCAAAAGTAAAAGTATTAGAAGCGTGAAAGGGCAAACGTTTACTATTTAAAATTTGACAAGAATTGCAAACATGAGAGTTTTTACTCTTATTACTTTGAAAATTGAAAGTACGACTTAAAATATCCAAAACTTGAGCCCCTGGGTGACCTAAATGATCATGCCAGGGGTGACTGGTGGTAGCAAGGAAAGTGGCTTGAGGAGGTAGTTGCGGCTGAGTGTACGGATAAAGGTCTCCGGTGCTGTTGTGTCGAGACAACAGCCTCCTAGTTTTGAGATCCTTCAATGAAAAACCAAACGGGTCAAATTCAACAGAGACTTGATTATCACGAGTAAAGCGTCTGACAGAAATAAGGTTTTTAATAACTTGTGGGTTGTAAAGGACATTGGGAAGGACATAGGTTCGGTTTGGTAGGTGATGAAAACTGGTACCTGATCCATGTATTGGTAAAAAATTGCCATTGCCCACCAATAATTTACTACAAACAGGATTAGAATGTGGCATTAGTATCTTACCCTGCTCATGAGTTACATGAGATTCTGCCCCGCTATCCATGATGTCTGAAGCCCACGAGGAAGACGGCTGATTCATATGCATGTTACTGAATGCTGCGCTGAGATCTGAAGGGCTCAGTGCATTGTATACGCCTTGTGGTGAAGGGTTGTACCCGATGAACGGCTGCTGCGAAAATCCAGAAAAATGGGCCTAAGGTTGGGCAACCGACTGCTGGTTTGGGCTGCTGTTTGGATGCCATTACTGCTGCTGAGTCGGATAGGGGCATGGTGGAGGTGTCCAGCAGGCCCAGTTAGGGAACCCGCTCTGTTGAGAGTATCCGGACTGCTGCTGTTGCTGTTGACCGGACCAGGTAGGCTATCGGTTGTTGCTGTTGCGTCCCCTGCCACCGCAGCGGTTCCAGGACCCACAGCCCCGCCGGCCACGAGAGGAAGAGAAACTGTTATCGGACGTCGGAACCAAATGGTTGTTTGGAGGGGTTTTTGGAGCAGCGGTTGCGGCCAAAACAGTGGAATGAGAACTTTTTTGGGCGTCCAAGCGGTGAACTTCATCATTCAGCATACTGACGGCTTGATCCCAATCAACACCATT